CTTGGTTTTCTTCTCCTGCTACTGTTTTATCTCTTTTAATGAAGACATAAAAACCTCCAGAAAATAAACCTTCTTGAACCAATCCTGAAAGCTAATGTCATTAGCTTTATGGCTACATTCAAACTGCACACCATGTAACCACTCTAATTAGCCTTTGTTTTCACAGCCTGTTACATGGTCTAATATCTGTTTTTATTCATGTGAATGCGTCTTTGTTGTTTGGGGTTTTAAATTTGTGTTTATTTTTGTATTTTGAACTTAGCCCAGGTCTGACCTAGTTTATTTCTATGAATGGAAAAAACTATTACACAAAGAGAAACCAGTAAAAGTAAACAGAAACAGCTGGAGGAGGACTGCGTGTCTGTGTGTAGTAGTAAAGCAGCAGCTCCTTGAGTCATCACACAGCCGGTTGGTTCCAGTTAGGGTCCTCTCACTGTGTCAGGGATGTTATCCAGATGAGGGGGCTCAGCTGGTGACTCACCTGAGTCAAGGCCATTGATCTGCCTGAGGGGCCTCTGGGACAAAACAACACGGTGAGAGAGAGAATGACAGAGAGACCACGGCACCTTCAGATGAAAAGGTTTGAGGGGGAGATATTTCACTTTGCGGATCGGGTTACATCGAAGCACAAAAGTGAACACAATAGGCTCGATATACCTGAGATCAAACTGAAAAAATCTTTAGATAATAGGTCCAAAATCCCGCAGGTCCACGCAGAACCTCAGGGTGACTCTGTGGGCGAGCACAATGGATCTGTCCAGGGTTTGATGACGGCTCAGGTTGCCCCCCAAAAAATCCCCCATTTCATACAGAAACATTTGTAAAGGCGTCATAATGGGAAAGGAGAGTCGCATGGCCTCTATATATTCAAAAGCAGGGACTGACAGTTCAAAAGACTCCATGACAGATGTGGTGAAGTCTTCACCCTGTGACACACAAACACACACAGATAATGACAGTGTCAGTAAGTCAAGAGTCAAATACCAAAAAATGTGTCATAAAGCTGCAGGAGGTTAAACACTGTAATTTTAATCACCATGTGACACAAAAAACATTGTGTTGTTTTCCTTTGTAGATATCTAAAAATGGACATGATGGCTGGAAAAAAGAAATCACAGCTTTGTTGTGGAAAACTACAACAAGACTATAGAAAAATGAGGAAAGGGAGCCACCTACTGGCCAAAGAGAGGGATTACTAAAATGATCAAAGACGGCAGTTTTCCTGTCTGGGTAATAATTCAGAGACAATTTACATGACATTTTAATCTTGCTTTACTGAAAGGATCATTAATTATGTTTTGACCTACTTCTAGTTTGACCTTTCTTCCAGCATTCAGTCAGCGCTTCATTAAATCTACATGACCCAGACAGCTTCTGATATGTTAATAGCTTGTTTGTTTTCCTTGGCTCCTTCAGCTAACAGAGCAGCTGTCTCTTGGGGGACGAGTAAAAAGAAATATTATCCTTCACAGCTCGTATTTGTGCTGATTAGCTGACAGTAAACTTAGAGGATGCATTTTTTTTCCAGATCCATGAAGAGAGACGGATCAGATCAATTCAAAGATGCAGCAAAGCTTTGAAGGAGTCAAAGGACTCTTTCATCCCACTGCCCCAACCACAGATGTGTCTGCGCCTTCATCTCCTCCACCCACGGAGCTCATGTTCATGTGACCCAGATGACCCTCGACACAGCACCAAAGAAGAAGAAGAACAACTCCCCCTGTGAAAAAGACAGAGAACTCAGTTTTACCTCATTTGTCAAAGGAACTAGAAGGTTTAAATCTGTATAAAATAATGAATGTAAAGAGTGTAAATAACATTAAATATGTCCTTTGTGATTGTTATACTGTAACTTGAATTATGAGTCGACTGTATTTGTCTTTTTGATTCAACAATCTTATGAATGTACTTGCATTTCAACACCAACTTGCCCTAGAATCATACAGTTTAGTTACTCTTGGTTTACAGATAGTAGAGCTGGCAGTGATCTAAAATCAAGCCTTTACTATCTGGACAGAGTGGCTCCTCCCTGGTCTACTGGGCTAATAAAAATTGCAGCTGGGTCAATGGTGTTTGCAGTACTGTGGCAATGTTTTTTTGGTTTTTGTTTTTGTTTGGTGCCTCATGGGATTAGAGCTAGGTCTACTGGTCTTGACTAGTTTTTGTAGAGCAAAACTCAGTTCTTTATTCTTGTTTCCTACTTCAAGAGGGGAAATTAATGCAGGTATTTCTCAGACAGGTTATGTGTGATTTCTTTCTCTGAAGGGCGCTGCTGTGTTGATGTGTGACATCTGAGTTGGATGAATAATCTCATGAATTTGTTGGCTATTTGACATAAAGTAACAAGTTCCATGTAATTTTTAATTTCTGTGAGGGTAACAGCATTGTGGAACTTCAATAGTATATAGAGGCGGCAGTAACTCAGGAGGTAGAGCGGTCGTCCAAAAACCAGAACGTTGGCGGTTAACCCACTTAACCCACCTTGCTCCCAGTGTGTGTCCTCCACTGGTGTATGATAGTGAGTGTTGTGTGGTGGTGGTCGGAGAGGCCGTAGGCGCAAACTGGCAGCCATGTTTCCGCCAGTCTGCCCCAGGGTAGCTGTAACTACTAAGGTAGTTTACCACCACCAAGGTGTGACTGTGTGAGCGTCTGTATGATGTATCCAATGTAAAGTGCTTTGAGGGTCTCTGATAAAGCGATATATGAAATCTGATCTACTGGTTATGACCTGATGTGACTCAAGGAATTCTGGTCCCCAAGAAAAATTGACACTTAAAGCCCCATCACTGTACCCACTCATTTATCGAACTGTTCAACATAAGAATGGACCTTTTGCAACTATTGTCATGACTTTCTTTGACTCTATTGTCTTGAAAGCTAAGAGAAAAAAGTCTGAACAAATGAACTCTATGGTGAGGTTACAGCACACTGATCATTGTGTCATCATTCTGTCGGAAAAATGAAGCTTTTAAGGTGGACATTTGCTTATCGGACATTATCGGTCAACTCTTTTCTGCCTCATCTACCTCGTACCCCAGAGCGCACACGTCAGCGTTCTTACAGGAGAGGTAAGACTTTGTTCTTTTGTTGTGTTTGTTTCATGCAGAATGATTTATGTAAATGCATGTTAGAGTTTAAGAAAGGAAACAACAGAATACTGTACTTATTGCTTCGTGTCCAGCTGTTCTCTAGAATTCAGTAAAACAAGCAGAATTCCTTTTTTAAAGAAAGCATTACTGATGGCATCATTTTTTCTTCTTCTAACATTCTGCCTAAACTTCTTCCACAGACTTGTCAGTCTTCATCAGTCCCTCGGGGCAGAGAAAGCTGCAGGAAGTTGTTGTCATGTTGTGATAAAACCAGATGTCTAGAGGGTAAGTGGGGATATAAGTAAAACATTGGTTTGGTGGTACTTTGTGGTTATTTTACCCTGGCATCTCAAACTGCACACAGAGATAAAAACATACTGCAAACATCTGCAAGTAATCTTCATGCAAAAGTTTTCACAGCACTGTTTTTGCGTACAATTGTTGACTTTGTATACATGGATTTGATTTGGTGCAATTTATATAAATCTATTTTTAACTAATATGTTTTTGCAACACTCGTAATTGTAATCATCTAAAACTAAGGCATTATTTTACAACCTCAACTCTGCAAATATATAACATGAAATATAAAAATCTAATAAAAAGAGGGTGATATAAGTTCTAAAAATTACAGAGATTTTTATTGTAAGGCAACAACTCAGCACTATCTGTATCTCTCTGCAGCTGCACAATAGTACATTGTCCTGTTAATTGTTTCTGTAGATGCCTCTCTGACAGCAATAGTTGAGCTTAGAGGAAATTGTCAGTGTGCATGGATTCCCTCATGAGCACCAGCAGCCTATTAAAACCACTCTGTTAACCTTTACATGTAGAGATAATTCTACTGACGCAAAAGATGTCAAATGTCAGACAATTCTTCACCCTCATACCAGCGAACTGGGACACCTCTTAAAATACCACCCTCCTTAGAGAAATGCACCAGAACATCTAGTCTACGTAACTCTCAGGTTCCCTCACAGCCTTTCCACATCTGACTTTGCTTTGTCTTTTCCATGTGAGAATAGTGTGTCAGAGAAGTGTTGAGCTTCACACAATTTAAAATAGCTTTCATCTGTTCTCAGGTTCTGTCCTAATCCTGCTGGGACTGAGAAAGCAGTTCAGTTAGCACAGTTTGTCTTGAGGTAGGTGCTGAAAAAAAAGGAGGTCTGCTGTGATTTACGTCCACCTCAGCTTAAAAGTTTTTATTACAACATCAGGTCTTCTTCTTCTTACAAAGACACTATAAATAAGTCACGGTTTGCTTTATTTTCCTCCTCTAAACCTTCTAATGAGCCCCACCATGTCTATTTGCCTTGCTTGAATGTATCCCATGATATTGAATATTACAATATCAGGCGTTTTATGGTGACATGGCAGGAGCCAATCAGCACCGCGGAGAGCTCCTACATCCAACCGTCGTCATGGGCAACGCCCCGGCATTAGCTGGCACGACCACATTTGGTTGTAGTACCTAAATGTTTTATTTATTAAAACAATAACAGCAGAAAAACACCACTAAACTTATTAAAAGATGATACAGCTGTCGTTTTAATTACAAATGATTAAAAATGCTTTAGCCACCTGTGCTAATAAGCTAGCAGCTCCACGTAACGGTGCTCCATCCGTCGCTTAGCAACCACATTGTTTAGCCCCGGATCAACGGACGTTTATTGTCGATATTGACGATATATAGATTAATTTAATTAGCTTAAAAACTACATTTAGACGTGTCTCCGTTTAGTTAACAGGAATAATAGAGTGTTTAAGGTTATGTTTTTTAATAAATACTCTTTATGATCACGTTACCATGTCAATACGCTTCATTTAGTCACGCACATTTTCTGCGCACACGCTCCTCTCCTCTCCTTTGTTCCCCATTCATGAAGCGACGTCAGTATCCCGGAGATGTGTCAACGTAAACTGTAAACCCCCTCCTCCTCCTCCTCCTCTACTGTGAACAGGCGACTGGCCCTTTAAGGGTTATGTAGCCGGGCTAGCCGATGTAGGACGAGCCGACCGTGCGTCTGCCTGCCTGCCTGCCTGCGCTCCCGCTGCCATCCCCATCATGGCCTCCACACAGCCGCCACCGACGCCACCGAGGATGAACCGACCAGCCAGCGGCCCTTCCCTTCCCGCAGCGGAGACGGACGTCAAGCCGAAGCAGAGGCACCGGTAGAGGCGAGCCGCGCCGGGGAGAGCCGCCTCACATCCCATGCCACCCCGGTCTCCTCCATGCCTTCGTCTAAAGCCAAGTACAGCTATTCGATAAAGAGGGGTGCGAACCCGGGCGGCGGCGGTGGCGGCAGCGGCGGCAGAAACATGACAACGAACAGGGATTATTCTGTTAATCTGTCGGTGCAGCAAGTGCTGAGCCTTTGGGTGCAAGGCACGACGCTGCAGCACTTCACAGGTATGCGGAATGAATGCTGTTTTCATGATCACACACGAGTCATCCTCACCATCGCCACCACCATCAGCAGCAGCAGCAGCGTGTACAGGGTAGTTGTGTAGCCCGGAGTGTGTGTGTATGTGTGTGTCGCTGTTGGCGTTTTAGCGCGTCCATTTTAAAGCATGTGTGATATTTCATCTCACATGCTTAGTGAGCAGAAAGGCTAGAGCTGGTCCCGTGAAGAGGGGGTACCACCTCAACCCCCCCTCTCCGCCCCCAGCTGGTGAAAACACCGGCTTCAATAAAAAATGCCACTCCTCTATCCACGCCTGAGGAGTCAGTGTGTTTTATAGAAATAATCACAACATGTAGTTAATTAATCTTTCAGCTGTGAATGCGTATTAACTTAGTGGTAGTAAATCAAGTGTCATCTTCCTCCTTTTCCTCCTCCTCCTCTCCTCCTCCTTTTGTCTTGCAGTCCAGTTATGAAGGGGCAATTAGAGGCGGCATCCTCAAGACTGAGAAGGATATCTGTCTGAGACCGTCTAGACTCCAGTAATAGTGAGGATGAGTAAAATCAATGCTTTTCTTAATGTAGTTTTGAATGGGAGGGGTTGGTGATATCAGCTTTCCAGTATAGTTACCATCAAGCTGTAAATCTGTGGTTGGAGGAGCAGGATGGGCTGATAGCTGATGCACCAGTGCTGTCAACTTTGTGCACAGCTATAGTAAAGGAAAAATGCCTTAACGCTGATTTTCTTGCTCCCGTTTCTTTGCATCTTATGTGGACATGATTGACGGCGGTGCTATGCTGGATGTTCTTTCACAGGTAGATGTGATTATACACCTTTTTTTAAGGGTCTCTGTGGAGGAGCTTCAAGGAAGGGCAGTGTGGGGTTGTAAAACAGTCATGTCCACATGAAATAAAAAAGGAGAGGAGTGGTGTGTGGGTATTTTATCTTTCCTCCCTTGTGGGCCAAACTTCCTCAGTGATCAGTTGACACGACAAAAATTCCTGGCCACCATCTGTTTAACATTTTCCACCCTTTTCTTACTTCTACATGTATGACAAACAAGAGATTCAGGGGGGAACGAACACCAGGACTGCTCTGTGGTATAAACACAAGATTATAGACATTCTTGACTTCCTCCCTGCAGAGTGAGAGTGAAGCACAGGCGGATGTCGGGTCACAGACGGGTTGGCACAGGCCCATCCCATGAAACGCAGCTGATATCCTGTGTTGGGAAACACATCATGCAAGACCATAAAAAAAGAGGTAGTTAATGATGCTGAGTCAGCAGGAAGCTGCAGCGCTCGCAGAAGTTTGCGGAAGGAGAGCTGCAGGCGTGAGGAGAGAGCTGCGAGGAGCTGATGCATGGACTTTAGTGAGCAGGGTGCACCAGCCTGCTACCCGATCCCCCTCGACCTCACAGTTCACCAACCAGGTGGAAAACAACCTCTGAGATGTAAATAAGGTCAGAGGGAACAACAAGAGCAGATGTAGTTTTTAAAGAGACCCCATCCCCTCTGTCCTCTCTCTCACTGAGGCTCTGGGGAGTAGTCTTTACCAATGAATTTCCTGTTTATGATTTGTGTGCTCACAGCTGTTTCACTTCAACAAACTATATCGGGAACCTATGCTTTATGACCACAAAAATGAGAGTGCAAGAAGACATAGTGCGACATTGAAAAAGACGTGTTTTAAGGGTTTGTTTTTTTATCAACTCGCTTTAAAATTTGGTTAAAGCAGCAGAGCATTTACGAGAAACAGAGGAGGAGGGTGGTAGAGACCAAAACCAGAGCCAAAAAGTAAATAAGCGAATATTACACCTACATTTAGCAGATATAAGTAACTGTAAAAATGTTAATGTTAGATATTTACTGCAAAGCTGACAGTGATCTCATCTCAAACCTATATGTTACTCCTTTCACCATCTCAGACGTCCCTCTATTAACGTATTCTGATGTTTTAGAAAACTAGAACAGGAATATATGAAGCTCCATAATGAAGATTCACGGTGCCTGCATTTATATGAACCCTGTTTATCGTCCAACCCCACTGGAACAGCTTTATGGTGATAAAATATTTCATTAATATAGCACTGACGAGGTTTTACACAGCAATAAGAAATCCAAACAAAAACATCAACCATCTCAGGATCACAAATAAAACATCCAGCTCATACTGACTAAAGCTTTTTTGAGAGTAAGTGCGTTAATTTAAAAGTTATTATTGTTACTGCAAACCTCAGATATCCCTTGCTCTCTATGCGCAGTGTAAGTCAAGACAGCTCCAGCTGTATTACTACCAGCTGGCCGTGTTCCTCCTCTCTGTGTCACCCTATACTGGGACGAATCCATCATTCTTCCTGCTGATGGATGAACTCGACGCCCCTGCAGAGCTCCCACTGCGTGAGCCTGCAGTCATGCCACTTCCACTCGTTCGTGTTGTATAGCGGCCTGTGCGCTCGTGCAAAAGAAAGGAAAAAAGAAAACTCTTACCAAGCAACTAAAAACCATGACCCCTGATTTTTTTTTTTTTATGCTTCACTGTTGACGGTCGAGCTCTAAAGCTGCCGTGCTGACAAAGACCTCTATCAGTAGTTGAGGATTAGTGGAAGTTAATGCCGTGCTCTGACTGTGTTTTGGCTGCTTGCATCTCTGAACATGACACAGCACTTGAGACTTGCACATCTCTAGGCTCAAAGGTGCGTTTCGGAGCTGTGACCACCTGCGCTGCTGTCTGCTAAAATTACTGGTTTGACTCAGCTCCTAACATCTGACAACCAACCCGCCAAGAGTCATTTCTATCTGGAGTAAATAACCAGAGGTGTATTTCCATAAAAATCCCAGCAGTCGCCATATCTTTTTAATTCATCTTTTTATAAATCCCTTTAACAGAAGTGTTGGAATGACACCGTCCAGCCTGGCAGGTGACTGTGACCATTTATCCACCGTGGACAGATTTCACTGACATTTGGCTCTCCGCAGGTGTTAGTGTCTGACCCCGCCTTTCAGTGTTTGTGTTCAGCAATGGTGAGAGCAGGATCCAGATCATCCACCTTAATATAAGAACCAAAACCACAGAGCTGGTATACTGCGGTATGAGCAAAAGCATTAAAACTGATACCAATTTTAGAGTAAAAGAGCTGAGTCTGTGAAATTATAGAACCTGTGCCTGCTATATTGTCATAGTAGATTTATAGGCCGTTAATGTAGATGACAATCATAAAAAAGTAGCTTTAATGCCTGACAAGAGAGCTTTAATTATTTATAACACTGTTTTAGAGCTTGATCCAGTGGGTACCCCCGATGTGGTCCAGCCCCTCTAAATTCTCACAAACTAAATAAATCATGAGTCGTGACAAGATTATTCCATCCATCCATTATCCATACTGGTCATCCATTGATGCAGTAAATCTGACTTCAGCTGCTGTAAAAAGCAGCACTCAGTAACTCTTAATATTCTCCCAAAATGTGAGCTGTCCGTCACCCGACTACGCTAATGCTCCTGTTCATAAGTTGCAAATTGAGCCTTTTAGCTCACCGTACACCAAAAGATAAAGAAGTTCGATAAACACACAATGCTGATCAGCAGATTTGAAGATTTCTGCAGGTATGGATGGATGACCCATTGATTATGTGCACAGACAGCAAACTTCAGCATGTGTGGAAGTAAACAGAAGTGTTGAGACTGTTTGTATGCACAAGTGATGCAAAGGAGAGCAAGATATTAGAATCAGTATCCGCTGGAATGAGTCTGAAAATATTGTCATATCGGCAGAAATTTCATATTGTGCATCATCTTGAATCAGCTGTTTTTCGGAGTTTGACCCTAGCGGTGTCTTAACCTTATTTCTGTGAATTCTTCCTCCTTACAATCAAAGCACAGTCAAAACTCCAGTATTTGCCTCCAAACTAAAGTGCCATGGAAGTTTATGAGTAAGAAAAGTTCAGTCTTCAGATTCAGTACAGAGGCTGAGTGAGTCTCCCTCTCTTCCTGTGGTTCTGACAGAGGTGTGGTCTGTGGGACACCTCCTCCAGTGGCCTGACATGCTCCTATGTTGAGCATTGTGTTAATCCGTTCAGGCTTAAATTGAGCGACAGATGCCCAGTCTGTGAGACCAGGACCTGATGAGGGATCCTGACAGAGCCAGGAGGGACGTCTGAGTAGTTTTCATTTTATAAACCTGGTCTCTTCTGTCCCTCACTGAAGGAGGAAGAAACTGTACTGGATACCATTGCTCTTACCAGCACTGAATGATTAGTAATAAGTCAGATACATACGTAGATAGGTCTTGCATGATAGATTATTAATACTAATAGGACATCATTTGTAATCACAGAAAGATTTAGGGTTGTTGAGGCTTTAACTAAAAGGGTTGAAATGAGTCACTACTACGACTTAGTGTAAACTATAATAATAAGTTTAAGTCTTATCCATACAGATCCGCCTGCTGCTTCAACTCGTTACCTCCAAACATAAAACTAAAAAAAACAATCACCAAATCATTGTGTGTTTCGTACTTTTTTCATCTCCGCCAAGGTTTGTTGGCCTGTTAGCAATAATACAGATAAACTGTTGGCACCGTTTCCATTTACAAACGCAGAAACATACAAGGCTACAAGGAGAAACCCAGTCAGTCAAAGCTTTGGTGGAGGTTTTCAGACTTTGAATTCCCTTTTTTTTATGAGTGGAGAAGTAAAACCAGGTAGGAAACAAACTGCTCACATCAAAATGCGATGGATGAATCAGTTCCATGTGGGTAAAAACTGCAAAAACGATATCTCTAAAGTTACTGCCAGCTTTTGCATTCGGCTGCCCTTTATGAATCTCCTCAGGAAATCTTGGATTTGTTGAAAACCCTGATGGCAGATTCAGATTCACATCATAGTCTGGTATATAGAGGAGCTTTACTCCAATCACAGAAATCCCTGTCTCCTTATTTGTGTGATTGAAGAATCTTGCCCAGTAGAAACCAGCTTTTTGAGCCCTGATGGTAACATGTCACCACCACTGTCAATCACGCCGTTAAAGCCCTCGTTTGTTGCAACAAATAACTGTGAGGAATATGTGCTTTTAATTATTGCCTGATCTCTTCGTCTTGAACACTCTTTCGTTCACCTCTTCTATCACTGTCTCTTCAAAGTTCAACTTAAATCTGTCAGGAAAGTCGAGCTGTCAGATCTTGATGGATTTCTGGGTCACAGGCCAGAGGACAGAAGATCGAGAAAGGCAGGCAGCAGCGTAACTCTAAAAGCGTCCTCTGGTACATCCTGTATCTTCCTCTCTGCCCATCTTGTCAGAGTTGCTCACCTCCTCTCCTGTGAGACAGATGAGGATGGTTGTATAGAGACAGCGGTGGGTGGTCTAACACTGTCATGAAGGACAAAGAGCTGTTGTGTTGCTGTGCTGTCACATCTCTCTCCACCCGGCTCAACGGCTGATTACCTGATCGATAAATAGATGTAGGCGCTCACTCGGCTGTGGAGTAACCAGAGTAGATGGATATGCTAAAGAGTCTCCTCTGGGCTGAGAAACGCTGTTTTCAGATGTTTACACCGCACAACAATGTCAAACTTCCTGTTTACGTCTCATCATACAAACTAAACAGGCTTTGGCTTTTTTACACCACATTCCTCTGCTTTTGGATCGGTGGTTTCCCATCCGTGCTGGACGCCCCCTTTTTCCTCAGTCGATCTCTTTTCTTCTACAATAATCCCGGGGCCAGCTGGCTCCTCTTTGCTCCCACAGTGCCAGTGGTTCAAAGCGCGGCCCCTCGCTGGTGAAGTGTGATGAGGCCAGAGTTTTCTTTTTTATGTGAAGCCAGTGTGTTCGACAGGAAGACAGAAGGACGAGGGCATGAGGACAAAGAGGAAGAGGAAGGGGACTTTAGTTGGTCAAACTTTTACCAAGGCGTCAACTAACTTTTCATTATAATTCAAATATCATTTAAACTGACGTATATTGGTTATTATGTGGTAATAACAGGTTTATAAACTGGTGATTCAGAGTTGTATTAAAGGCGTGGTTGACGATCTGAGAAGTAGTTAAAAAACTGAGCCGTTGAGGCAGATTTGAAAAAAGCGTCCCACCCTCCACACACAAACCTCTCCCCCTCTTTGCTCCACGATAACTGCCCCCCTGAACCTGTATCACCCTCCTCACGACACACCCCCTCTGACAGAGCAAGAAGCTGGCCGACAGAAGATCCTACACTAGCTTCAAATAGGATTCACCATGTCGTATTTCGAGTGACAAGTGGCCGTAAATGCCAGCTTTGCTAGCGAACACCGTCTGCATCTGCCTGGACAGCTACTGTGTTGACATTGCAGAGACTAATAAGAGTTACTTATGTAACATGAGCCACGATAAAAGGCAAAAATTACCTGTTCAACAAAAACTCTGCTGTCTCAGCGTCTGTTTTCAGGCCCAAATCCTGGTGGAGCTTTCTCCACCGTTCTAAGGATGACCCGATGTTTATTCAAGTTAGATTCCTCGCTTGGTCACGTTTCCTCTTCGACACCGCCCTTTCTTCGCCTTGCACTTTTGGCGGTGGGGCAGGCGGAAGTGTTTTTTTTAATTTTTCGTCCTTCTCCGTCACAGTTCCTGTAGCTAACCTGCTACGCTACTTTTAGCCGCTCAGAGCTCCGAGGAGGGCCGGGAGAACTACGGGAGAGGGGTGTGTTGAATACAGCGAGGTGATTGGAGGGAGAGGTGGAGCAGGAGATTGACCAATAGGAGCTGTCCGGGACAGATGGCTCCTATTGGTCAATGTTTTTGCAGTCCTGCACCTGCTAGGGTGAACAAATTTTTTCCATTTTTTTCTCTTCACTTTGTGGAGATCGCACTACAGGACCATGATCACCATATAAACAAGGTTCATAGTAATTACTAATCTCTCCAATCGTAATCATGAATACCAACGCTCGTAGTAATCCATGAATCAATGAGTTGTACTTAGATATTTGTACTTAGAGTTGTTATCTTACCTGTACAGATACTGGCCCACAAAATCTGTGTGTTTCAGATGTAGTATTTGGGGCTATTAATAAACATCTAAATGGTGCTCACTCAGACTATAGTGGAAGACAAAACCAGCAGAGTCTCAGCTCTCACTACTGTCGTGTTTCGTCCTTTTCCACCATTTGAAATCGCACTAGAATCAAAAGAAAACCTGTTTCAGCCAATTCAATACAGGCCAACACTGAAGCCTTGGTATCAAGATAAATATCATCAGCAGAGAGAGGTTTTTGAGGATATTCAGTGGACTCGCTTATCCTCAATCCAGCTGAAGATTCACCAAAAGCCAAATGTGAGCTCTTGTTTCAGCCAAAATCATCCATCTACTGCTCAACGTCTGAAATCTCTCTCGGAGCGGTTTTTATACATCTCAACCTCAGGTCCATTACCGCGCTCGGCTGCTCCCTTCATGAGCCCTGACTGAGAAAGTGGGAGCTGTAGATTGAAATCCTCCCTCACAGAGTAAGTGCGCACCCTGATCTGTGCTTTCGAACGAGCCCCGGTATGTGTAAATCTGTAAAACGCATCAGGAAATCAGCCAGAGGTCTAGAGCCGGGATAGCATTTCTATCTGAGCAACGCAGTAACTGATGCGACGTGACAAGGACGCTGTATGTGTACCTACAGAGGGAGGAACGTTTATCTCCTTCCTCACAAAGTGGATGAAACCCTCTGGGACCCACTCTTTTCTCTCCATATGCAGACAAAGGGAAATGTGCTGATTCATTACAAATATGATGATCTTAATGTAGAGAAAAATGATTGTCAGCACAGTTTTTGCTAAGGATGCTACATTTCCCATAATGCCACTAATCACCACATTCAATCATTCTGTTGTAATCTTGATTCCCACATAAGTGCAGGCTGTTATTATAAAGATAACACGTTCAATCCCATTTTTAGAGTAAGAAAATATACGACAGAGGAGTTTTCCCAGAATGCTTTGTGTCGAATACCGTCTTATCTCGTGTTTTTGCATTTTCCTGTCTGTATCTGATCTGTCCTCCTCCCTGTGTTGTGTCTCCTGTCAGAGATGTGGTACTGGGTGTTCCTGTGGTGTCTCTTCTCCTCGCTCTTCATCCACGGGGCGGTGGGGCTGCTCATGTTGGTCATGCTGCAGCGCCACAAGCGGGGCCGCCTCATCACCCTGGTGCTGGTCAGCGTGGGTTTCTTGGCCTCGCTGTCGGGAGGCGTCATCACCAGTAAGTCCACTTTTGTTTTTCTTCCCTTTTTTTAGACCCAGACCTTAACAGTGTTCAGTATCCAGTCAGCCAAGAGGAAGAGGAAGAAGAAGAGGGGAGGTGACGGGGAGGAAAAGAAGGAGTTAGTGTGTTGACTCCTGTCACACAGAGGGGGACAGGAGCTGACAGAGACAGAGCGAGGAAGAGCTCAGGCTTATTTTTATTCTTTACCTTCCTTATTCGTTTATACAGCTCAGCAAACTTCAGCCATACCTGGTAAAAAGTTACAAAACCATTTGATTCAACGTCTTTTGATTCAATGATGATAATCTTCAGGACAGATATTGAGGGTCTATTAAAAGCTTGAAATAACACAAATAAGTGGTCCAGCAATGTTGACACACGGTATTTAAACTTTGTCACAACATAAGATAAGGGCTGAGTGTCTGTTTAAATATTTACAAAAATCTGCCAAAATGATGCAGAGCTGCAAGGCTGAATTACAAAGTGGGCAACTGTTCCAGCCCCCGGGGTCCTCAGCCTGTGGTAATTGAATAAATCTTTGTTTATTCATCCTTAATGCACAACTCAAACAAAATACAAACAGGAACTGAAGGGAAGTGCTGCATTACAGTAACCGTAAACAGAGCTGAAGAGATAAGAGATGATTTTTGTGGGGACGAAGGGTAAATGGAAAATCATCCAAACGAAAAGATCGAAGTCGCGGGTGTTTCAGCTCAAATATACCATCATTTTTTAAATCAGTCTGATGTAACGCAAAAGAAATTCTCTGTTATTTGAAGGTGCAGAAATATATGATTTCAACTGGACTGAACACAGAAAAAGATTCTTTAAAAAATGAATGAAGAAGTTTATTTTTGCAGATAAATCACTAAGTGACTCAAAAGTGAACTTCTCATTTCTAAGGGCCTGTTTCCATCATACACTTCTTTTTCTAATGATGTAAACAAACCCAGTGCAGTTTAGCCAAGTTTAAAGTATTATCAGCTAACAGTAGCTATCAAACTGAGTAAGGACATGAATTCTTGTTCTTTTGTAAATGTTAATGATCATTTTTTGATCCTATTTTTCCTGACAAAAAGTGAAAGTATGTTCTCATCAGTTTCTCGATTGTCAACGTCTTACACAGAGCCATTAAAAGCTGATGTTACAGTTTTTACAGAGGAAAGCAGAAGTGAGTCAAGAAGGCTTTTCTGTTTATGACCATGTTAACAGTGATACTGTTTTCAATACTGACATTATGCTTGCAACAAATCATATGTAGACTTAGACAGAGCTGTTAAAGTGTGTTCAAAAAACAATTCATATATTTGATTTAACTTTTGATATAGAGTTGACATCACATCAGCATACAAAACACACAGAGATCATATTTTATCCACAGTTACTCTCCTTTTCCAAGTCCGTGTAGGTGTAATCTTTTTATACGTTTGCGCCCCTGGACACCGTCTTTATTCCTCTCTGTTTACCTGAATGAATCTCACTGTTTGTCTCCGTACTCAGATGTACCGATTATTGTTCAAGCCTCTGTTTGTCCTTACACTCACAGTGGAAGAATATATTGGCAGGCTGCGTAAATAGACCTTTAAAAGTCAAGTGTGAGGTAGGGGTGCTTCAGGGCTGTCTGAACGAGGCACTCGAGCTCACCTCATGAAAGAAAGACAGTTTATTATTAATGTGACGATCAGAGAGAGGAGACTGTTTATTAACTGGGAGCACAAAACCCTCAGCTGCATCAACCAGGTCATCCAGGTAATGCAAATCCATGACGACTCAGAGCAAATGTAGGTTTTGGTAACAGGATGAAATGATAATTCTTACTGTCTCCACACACCAAGCGCGAGTAAAATTAGTCGCGCGAGTGAATTACATGTTAAGTCAATGTAAAGACGCGATTAGACGCTCCAACTACTCTGGTGGCGTGAATGACTGGAATTTGGCGGAAGCTGAAAATTTCTCAGCTTGAGCGGATATTCGTGTCACGATAACTTATCAGCAGGTTGCCGGGTGACGTATGAAAATGCACAGTTGTTCACTGGTATCTAAAATGGAGAACAAAGTAATTGTGTTGGTTTGTGGGTGCCCCGAATTAAATGATAGCTTTTCGAAACCGGAATGAAAGGGGGTTCCCTGGAGGCAAGTGAGTGAGGAGGTCGTATTACCTGGAAAATTGTAAAAAACCTTTGTCTATCACTTGATCCCGCCAGTTAAATTGGAAGAGATAACTGTTGAAATCACTGTTGGCGCGCAAATGAAGCGAGTGACGACTATTCATTCACATTTCTAGATTCGCGCAAATTAAGCGCGTAGATGATTTTACTTGCGCTTGGTGTGAGCGCCCAATTAGACTCATTATAAATCTGAAACTGCTGTCAAAATGACGCCTTGTGTGCACTGGTCTGATTTTAATTTATAGGGTTGCTGCTGATTCCTGTTGACCCTGGATTTGACCATTCATGTTTCTAGATTCGCGCGAATTAAGCGAGCAGATGATTTTACTTGTTAGCGCCCCATTAGACTCAGAATAAATCTGAAACTGCTGCCAAAATGAAGCCTGGTGTGCACTGGTCTGATTTTAATTTATAGTGTTGCTGCTGATTCCTGTTGATCCTGGATTTGACCTCGAACGTCTGGATAACAAATGTTACCGTCTTATATTGAACTGGATAATTAGACAGATTAAAAACAGACATTAAACCGTCAAACGGTCAAAAAAACAAGAAGGATGGCAGATTTAGAAAAAGTTTCTCTTCTTGCTAATCGTCATGGAAACCCCCTGATGTCAAAGGAATGGAGCGCAGACACGGGGGTGGCTGTGAACTAAATAATGTGTCCACTTCAGCATCTTTTTGTGATACTGACACTCAGAAAAACAAGTTTCTCGACGCACAGCTGGAGTCTCGCTGCTGAGCGGTGAAAATGAGCGAGGATGAGCTCGTCCTCAGTGTGAGCGGACAGTCTGCAGTAATGGTGACAGGCTGTGACAGACAGCTGTGTTTGTGTGCATGCCCATCTGTTTACTCTCTTTGTGTATTAACGCTGCTGATGCGTGTTTTTTTCCCCCCCTCAGGCGCAGCGGTGGCGGGGGTGTACCGCGTGGCGGGGAAGGACATGGCACCACTGGAGGCTCTGGTGTTCGGTGTGGGCCAGACCACCCTCTCCGTTATCATCTCCTTCTCACGAGTCCTGGCCACGCTGTGAAGGGAAACTGCTCGACAAGATAAAAGGACAGACGCCGAGATGAGATGAGAGCGGGAGGATCGAGCCCATCAGAGACTTCTAGACGCTGAAAAGTGTCTGAGTTCGTGGAAGAAGAAGAGGAGGCAGAAACCGCTCTCTGGACCTTTTGAATGCAGGAGAGAGAAAAAAGAGAGCGCCACCCGGTGTTTCTGCTGGGTTACTGCCACAATCACGCTGCATTTCAGAGGAAACTGGATGCAGGCCGGTTGTCAGAGACGGCTCTCAGCTTCTGAACTTGAAAGCCATGTTTCAGGTGTTTTCAGAGCTCCATCACTCTTCGTGCCAACAGCCTTCTCTGGACATCCAGACGCCTTTGTGGCCACTGACTCTTGAAGGCTTTCTGTTGCACTTGTTGGAAAAAAAAAAAAAAACGCAAAGTGACGATCTGATGCGACGACCCGATGACCTTTTTCGGTGAGCAGCATGAGAACAAAAGTACAGCGACGAGGAGTGTTCAGGAAGTGGCGATCAAACAGCGTTCATCAGCAAAAAAAACCACCATTTTCTTCAGCATTCAACATCAGCCTCACCTCTCGTTCTCCACAGTGTTCAAGTACAGATCCTAACGATCATTCCTCTCCTGTAAACGGTTTAAAAGCCGCGACACTCGGCTCACGAGCGAGGCGCGGCTTTAAATTTTGCACTTTGTAAACGATGGAGAAGCTCTTTGCCTAAGAGGTGTGAAATCACGAAGGAGAAAACCAGCATCAGCTACGTTTGGTTTGTCACGTTGAAATAATGATTCTTTGAGTGCCAACGAGTGATCTGATCGGAGTTAAAGGAATATTTAAATACGTGAGGAAATATGCTGATTCGTTATCTAGCGGAGAGTTATGCCGCTCTCATGTCTGCGGAGTAAATCTGAAGCAAACAGCTGTGAGACAGAGGGTTGAGCAGAACGACCAACGCTCAAATATAAACACAATCTTTATGTTGTTTCGAAGATCTACAAACAAATTTTGCAGCTTTAATAAAGAGGATCATGCTTGAGAACTTAGCGGCTTTAGACTGGCTGCACACTAGATGGTTCCAGGTCTTATTTAGGACCCACCCTCAGATATAGAGGGGTCTGATCTGAAGCTTATTTCTGACTGAAAATTCGTTACATAATTAGCAAGTAATTTTAACGTTTAGACCACAGAGTGTTTAATAACTGGACAAAGTGTTGGTGATGTCAGCCATGTTTGTGAAGCTGATTTTAAAGGGATATTCTGGCGTAAAATTAAGTTAGGGTCAAACACATCGTAACATCAAGAGATGAATGTTGCTTCTCTAGTTATACCAACTTTTCCTGTTCCCCATGGAAATGCAATCAGACCGAGATGCTAAGGCAGAAGAACTACCGCGTCTGCAGAGCAAAATTATTAATATGATAATTATTATTTCATGGAAATAATAAAGAAATGATCATAAATGTTCTTCCTTGAGCTGCGACACCCCACAGCAGTCTGTAATGGACTGGCCTGAGGTCTCGACACAGACAAGCGGCTGCTGGAGGAGAGTGGGTGAGTTGTGTTTGGTCTCTTTGCTAAAGTTGGTATAACTAGAGGAGCAAGCGGTCGGCAACATTCATCTCTCTCTTGGGGGTGTCTAACTCAGTGTTACGGTGTGTTTGACCCTAAATTAATTTCACGCCTGAATATCCCTTTAAGTCGACTCTTAAGAAGCACAGTTTTTAGCACTTCTGTGTCTGCTTCATTTCTCGAGATCAGAGGTTCCCGCCTAGTTAATATTAGTTGGAACTGTCCTCATCTGTCCTATGGGGGGACTGATCTGGAGTGAGTATCAGTCTTTTCCTCTGGCTCTCAGCAGGTAACAGAATAAGCATATTTCCTAAAATGGTGAACTGTTCCTTTAAAGGTCTGGACCAGCAGGCTGTTTCGGTTTGCACTGAGCCGGTGTGATTTAGGCGTGGTGTGTGTATGAGATGAGGATCAGGGTCTTTTCATTCAGGGTTGAAGACAGATGTGTTGGTTTTGAACACGGTTGCTTTTGCTGCTGGAGGGTCGGCTCTGGTGTCCGTGAGTCCTGGTGCAGATCGTTAGTCATCATGTTTGAATCCAGCCTTCCTCTGCCCTTTATAGTATTATTATTATTACTATTATTAACATGATCTGCACTGATAGAACCCAGATGGACTAATTCTGCTGCTTGGACGGCCATTTTTATGGCTCCCTCTGTTGTTTTTGGTTTATTTATTAACCCATGTTCCTTAAGTTGAACTTTGCATATTGCACTGAGATTAATCTGCCTTGTTTTTTGCGCCTGTTCGTGTGATCCTACTACTCTGCCCGGCATACAAAAATCAGTGATTGTTGGGAATGTGCTCGAAGCTACTGTATGAACTAAAAACAGTGACGGATAGAGAGATACGCTGGTTTCATTTGAGTTTAACGCGCATTACTCGGCTCGTAAATGTGAATGCATTCTCCAGAGTGCGGCTCTAACACAGGGTGAGAAGAGTTAGGTTGAAATGCCAAAGTAATGCTCACTTTCTAGCTTTATTTAATCATCTTTGTCTTGTTTTATTGATATCACAGCCACGGTTGATTAATTTTATCTTTGCACAGGTTCCCCCCGGCTTCTTGAATTAGATGAAACTGATTTTTGAGTTGCTGTGTGGTTTTTATAGCTCTAAAGGTAAACCCCGTGTGTTTATGAGAGTTATGTAATTGTCACATCTCACCTTCAGTACCAGCTCAGAACACGAGAGGGCGATATTGCACAGAAATTGAGCGGCTCGGGAGACGATTGTGGATTTTAAAGCGGTGAAACAGAGTGTGTACAGAGTGTTTTGATACAGACGTGTTTTCTTATCTAAATTCCCCCTGATTTTAAGTGAGAAATTAGATCAAATCCTTTATTTTAATCCACTGAACGGCACTCTGCACATTGTCCATTCTACCTGCCTGAATGTTTAAGCTCAATTTCAGGGACCAAATGTGAGCTGCTGCTGCTGCTAGTGACTCACCTGCTGTCATAGCAATGAAATCTCTGTGAAGCTGTTTGTGGGGCAGTTTCTGCATGTTCTTACATGTGCGTGTGTGAGCGTGTGTGTGCGTAGGAGATGTGTTGTGGCTGTATCCATGTATGTGTATTATAGTAGGGTATTAATTTATTTATTTCTTTAACGTGGGGTTTCTATTTTGGAGCGTCAGAAAGGTTGAGGACGAAAACCTGAAAGCGATGTCTTACATAATGTGACGGAAACCTTTAATCCGAGGTGTTAGAAGTGACTTTTTCTGCATGAACTGGACTCTAAATGTAAGATTTGTGCACTTGTTGTACATCCAGAGCTGTATATAGCCACAGTGAAACCAATCTCTACCAGGAGAAGAGCGCACGTCACGACGAATGTGTTACAAACAGCTGAGAAGAACAAACAAACTACCGGAGAGTGTTTTTGTTTTCACACACACTCAGTGCCATGATCGCTCATCGTGAATATCGTTTTTTTTCTGCTCCAGGCTCCGTGATTCAGCCGCCGTCTAAGTGGCTGATGACAGTGTGTGTGTGTGTGTGTGTACTGCAATATTAAAGGAGACACCCAGCAACTAATAATCCCCTCTAGACTGTAGGAGAATAAGTACACCCCATCACTCTGCAGCTCAATAATCCTTCTCTTTCACAGGCTCATAACTAAAGCTGCCCCCTCAGTCCACCGTCGTCCAAAATGCCACATCCCCCACCCCGCTCCCCTCCCCGGACACATACTGTGTACCAGAAAACGTGTGAATGGACGATATGGACAATCCAACAAGAGACAATGTTGTACAAAAACCCAAAGTGGCACTTGTAGATAATGTAAAATAAGTTCTTTTTTAATTTTGTACCAGCAAAACCGCTGATATTTATAACTATTGCCTATTTATGTACAAACTGTTCTCCTGTACATACTCAACTGTCGGTTGAAATAAAAATCTTTTGCAGTATAAACTCTCTGGAGTGCCGTCTTTGTCTGCAGCCCTCCCTCACCTTCCTCCTCTGTCCAGATATTTCATCAAAGTCGTACTTAAGCCGAGGTCTGAAAATGTTCCCAAATCAGCTGAACTTTTGTTCTCAAAGTCAAAGCCAGAGTTTCTGTCAAAGCTGACTTTCAGCAAAGTAATCTGCCTTCATATGGAGCTGCGGTCGAGAACTTTAAAGCTAAAGAGGAGCCGAAGAGTGAAATCCAACTGATTTTAAATTAATGTCATGGTGGCAGTACGTCCTTCAAGTGAAACTCTCTGTAACTCTCTTTTTAATGATGAAGTTTGTTTCAGGCTGACGTGTTAATGAAGGAGTCAGTTCAGCGCTCATGTAAGTTAATGATGTTCACGGTGTTTAGAGGCTGCGGTTTAACTTTGCTAATTACATTTAAGTGCTGATTCATAGTTTGGAGGTTCTTGCACTTTTTGACAGCAGCACCTATTGGGAGTTTCTTGACATTAAAGAAATAGGTAGAAATTCATGTTGATGCATTTTTCGTGACATCCAAAAGCAAAGAAGACCATCAGCAACAAGACTAGGGGTGTCCCGATACAATATTGATATCGGATATGTCTGATATCGGATTATGCATCTAAAATCTCCGATATCAGCACTCCGATACAAGCAGTCCATTCCAGACTCTACTCCAGCACCTCTATCTAGCAGCGCCCTGATCCAGCAAGCCAATATCGGAATAATATCAGTATCGACCAATACTGAAGGCTACAATATCGGTATTGTATCAGAAGTCAAAAAGTTGTATTGGGACACCCCTAAAGGAGACTGATTATCTTTTCGAAGCCCAAAAGCTGTTAGTATGTCTGTTTTTTTTTCTCCACTTCCTGAAACCAACATTGCGCAGTAGTGTTGTGCACATTCGGCGGGAGAGTCGCTGTGATGACACTCAGCTCAAACGGTGTAAGTGTCAATCATAGAAAACATGAACCCTTTAATAACTTTTAAAAACGGAGCTGTACAGAAAAAAGAGGACTTGAGCACAAACCAGTCTTACTGTGACTACTTGTCAACATCACAAACGGGGGGAGAAAAATTTACATTCTGTGTAATGCATTTCTAAAGTTTGTTCACAGCTCCATAGGAATTGCTGGAGGAGACGAGATTTATGACCTATACTGCAGCCCGTCAACAGAGGGTGCTGTTCTCGGATGTGCAGGACACTTGAGTGAATATAAAACATTTTTAAGAGAGCACAAAAATTACCAAAGTAACAGAAATTAAACACAAAGTTGCTGCAACAAAGGAAACAACCATGTATTTAAATCATCTTCTGAGGACCATGAATGTCTATGAAGCTTGATAATCTATGACTGACTGAAATATCCAAACTCTACCTTAAAGTCTGAGGTCTCTGTGTCCTTAAAACTCCGGTTATCTCCTAAAAGAACGCTTCAGTATTTCATGTTCCAGCTGAAGTGTTTTCAGCCTTCAGAGAATCGCCCTCTTGGCTTTGTTCTTGCAAATTATCGACTGCGTTATGAATCCAGATTAGCTGCTTAATTATAATTGTAAATAAAAACCCTCATTAGTGTTAGTTACTCTGTGTTTGTGCTGCTCTGTGAACGCTATCAGAGACCACATCACGCTGGCACCGCAGAGCTCGCTTTATGAATGAATTATTATTCACTCTTTCTGCTTCCATTGTCCTCAGAGTGGGAGGCGTCATCTCCAGTCACGGCCCGTCTCTGTGTGGCACCGGGTCGGACCATCAGAGAGGAGGCCGTGCCGCTGCTGCCGCTGCTGCCCTCCTGGCACAAATATGAGAAGCTCAGGCTGTACGTGCTCTGTGCAGAAACATTTCTTTCGAGAGGAGAAACTTTTGTTTTGTCTGCCTGTGGGGGACAGGAAGTTGGTGTTTTCATTTGGTGGTATGATACCCAAAAAAAGCTCCCAGTACGTGATGCCTCATGGCTGTCAAGACGGGGCAGGGTCTCCTGGAAAAGTCAGAGTGTACCAAAAGGACTCTGTGATGAAGTTGACACACCTCAGTCTGATTCTCGTATCTGATTTGACATTTTGTCGCTGATGTGCTTTCCTCCGTGACTGCCAGCACTTTTCTTCTCAAGGTTTCCGATCCAAAAGCTCAGCAGCCAACGGTCTCTGCTGTCTAATGTGTTTTTACTGCTGAGAAAAGCAGGAGGAAAAGAGGCTATGAATAACCCGAGTGGAATTTAATCAAGCCTGTAAATTTTAAAGGGACAAAGGTTCGAAGCTGTTATCACCTTGTTTTTGTTATTTTATTCTTTAATGAGCCGGTGGCGGTAACTCTCGGTTTCCACTCATCAGCAGCTCTGTGGACGCTGGTTTTATAACCCAGAGGAGGCTGAGCGGAGCTGATAAGAGGTCAGCGGTTACTTTGAGGGCAGGAAGTGTTTCATAAGAGGTCAGGGAATGTGGCTTTTGGTATTTATGGGTATTTGGTGAACTGTGAAAATGTATAACTGTACTGACAGCTCAGACAATAATGTTTATGCTCTTATGTGACCCAAAATCACTCGGTGTGTTTACAGCCTGACTGACTTTACCCACTTTAGTGAAAGCCTCAGAGAGAGAGCTGAAAGAACGGACTGGGCTGCAGGATTCATTAAACTTTAATCTCGATTTTGGACAATTTTGGACTCAGAGATGATTTATGGCAGTTTATGACATAAAAAGTGCTGAGAGGGCAAGAATTAGGTGGTGTGTGTTAGTAAAACAGAGGGGCAGAGTGAGCACAGAGAGTGACCCGGGGATGCAGATCCACTCTGCACCGCTCCGGAATGGCAGGGGGATCAAACATGCGAGCATATTGCGCCCACTGGGTCCAATCCATTGCCGAAAGTGGAGGAGAAGCGATTGTGATATTACCGATATTTCTCACGAGAATAGACGAGATCTCACGTGTTTCACCGTGAGACGTTGAATGAGATCGGTAGTGTATATAAACACCCACATCCCACAACCCTGGCTTCTTCTATTATCACGTGAAGAACAGCGCAACGTATTGACTTGATTTTATTTTGAAAATTAACAGGATATTTTACTCTGTAGCCGCATACAACTTCCGCTTGATGCGCCGTGCTGTGGCGTCCGGCTAAACTAGAAGCCTTGTGTATCTGATCCGACCGCCGGAGCGGATCCGCAGCGTAGCCAGACACCTTGTGTGGAATCACACACATTGATTTTAATGCTTGTGCATTTGTTCAGGCTGCCGTCCCAGAGCTGAGTGCAGCCGTTCCAGATCCTGTGGAATTTAGCCGTGAGATGATGATAAAACCGTGTTTAAAGGTCCTGTGAGGAACTTTTTGTGAGAAACCTTACTCTTTTGTTCTGAACTTTAAGTGGTGTTTATGGACATAAATGATAATTTACTGTGAAGCTATTGTGAGGAAAAAGTTGTAAAAATCTGTATTTTTCTTTAGCATGCATCATCTGGCCTGACACCTACCCCCCCCCCCCCCTCACAGAAGTTAAAGACGCTCAAAATCACCAAGTAGAAACGATCAAACTTATTCCTGATGGTCTGGTTCGCTCATGTAGGTTCAAAAGGATTTCTCGTTCAAAAAATCCTCACAGGAGCTTTAATGGCTGGTTAGAGTTTGAAGTGAAGTGTGGTCCATGTCCTTCCAGATTTCTGTAATCCAGATTAGTCCAAAGTAGAGCTGGACGATAAACCGAAAATTTACCGATACCGAAATTTACGACAATAACCAACGTCATTTTTGCCTGTATCGGTATATTCAGTGTCAAAAAAAATAAATAAATCAAAGTTGGTTTTGTATGTGTGTAGGTAGGCTATGGTCTCATGTCCCTTTAAGACGCTGTCCTATGTCAGAGACGTGACTCCGCCCCATCCAGTCCGTAACAAAGAGGGAAAGACAGGTGAGGAGATGGAGGACGGTTCAAAAGTTGTAGCAGCTGAAGTAGATGAAGTTAATGTGGGAGGGGGTGAGCAGCTTGTGGAGTAGTTATCGTTCATTTATCGTTATCGAGGTGAATTGTTCAATACATCATGATATTGATTTGAGGCCGTATCGCCCAGCCCTTGTCCAAAGGCTGAAAAATGATGTCATTGTCTTCACTTAAGGCTCTCAGAAGATCTTCCCACCCTGACTGTGACTCCAGAGGACTGAGGTCTTCAGAGGTGATCTTTGATGCTGAACTTTTACCGTCACCGGTGTCTAAATTTCAGTAATTTCATTGTGTTTAAACTACAGAGTGATTCCTGTTACACACAGAGGCAAAGAAAGCCGGCGTCCGTACTCAGAAATCTGTATTGTTCAGCGATCTGTGTTTTCTGGAGCCACTTTGCATATCCAAACATTCAGTCATGAAGTAAAACATCCTGACCTCTCAGAACTGTCCTTTCTGCTGACCAGAGACTCGAGCCGCTCGCTGCTATTGTCTCATCGATTCCTCCGCAGGAAATACTTCAGAGTTGAGCGTAAGTGCAGACAACAGGATCGCATGCCTGCTTTGAAAACAACACCAATTCAACAATGACTGGACCCGGGCCAGGTCTTTTGACCCAGCGGATCACTTCACATTATTGACCTCGCCTTTGTACGGGCTGACTTGACTTCAGCTGCTCATAATGTTCAGTATATAAAGCACAGACGGCGCACAAACACTTCATGAGGCCAGGCTCCATCAGAACAGCGTCTGCCGTCTGGACGAAGCTGTGATGTGGGTCTGCGTTTCCTCAGAGACTGAAATATCCTAAACGTGAAACATTCACTCCGACAGTGAGACCACACAATGACATCTGAGACTTTGCAGCTTTACAGTCACTCCGGATATAGATCCATCGGTTTGGTAGTCAGGAAAAAAAAGAGTGATGTAGAGAGGCAATCGATGCAGATAAGAGTCAAAGATGAGGGTTTGGAAAGAAATGGCATGAAGCGAGCAGGAAGAGTTTTTCTTCTTCTAATATTTCTGTCAAATATTTTACTCTCATGACTGATACTAGAGCAGGATTAGCAAAACGCTAGTGTGTGGGTGAAGTGTTGATTTCCCACCTATTTTTCCTTTAGTTCAAGTCTCAAGGCCTGTCCGCACGAAAACAAATTTAGGAGTAAACGCAAACGTTTTTTTTTTGTCTTTCCACTTACTGGCTTGGCAAACGCACAACATCATTTTAGGTCGTTGTCAGTGGTTTTTCGTGTTTACGCGGATTTTTTCTGAAACTTATCTGGCAATATAAAATTTTGTCTCAGTGTGGACAAGGCCTTATGCTGCGTTCCAGTTACCTTGGAAGTCAGATGTTCGAGCTGGGAATGACGTCGGAAAAAAGCAAAATCGGCAGCGGACACAAGATGTTGCAGAAGTTGCTTATATTCGGACAAGGCAAGCGCTAATATAGCTTTCGTAGATGTAGCTATCTTGTTTCCGCCTCTGATTTTTCTTTATTGCGACTTGGTAACTGAAACGCTGGGAACTCAGGTGTGACGAGTTACCAGCATTCAACTGCAGCGACGTTAGTCTTCTGCCTAACTTTCGACTAAGATGCCTTTTAGTTTCAGTCCAATTTGAGTTGTTTTATAATTTTAGTCTGAAAAAGTAATTTTACTTTATTTGTGTTGAAATCTGCAGTTTCCCCCCTTTAACACTTTTACTTGTATGATACACAAAAAGAGATCCGTATTTCATTTATTTGCTTGCGTAACAAATGTTGCCAAGAGCTACATCTGTATGACAGTGGGTGACGGTGCTCATGGGAAATGCTGTTTTTATCGTGAGGGGTCACCAGGATCAACACAACATGAAAACTCCTTATACTGCCTTTAACTGCACAAAGTTTCTCACTGCAGCTTTAAGTTTTCATTTTTGGGAAAGTTCATCATTGCACTCAAAAGCAGCCGATTTTTATTATATATAAAAAGAGGTCATAGTGCTGATTTTTTTTCTGGTTATTTGCTGATAAATATATAAAACTGCACATGTCTGATTTAAAGTTTGATGCTTGTTTGAGTTTTTTAGTCTGGAGTTTGTGAAAAAAGTTGCTGCTGGTATTTTGACTAGGCTGAAGTGATCTGTATTTACAGACTCTTCTGAATTGTTGAATATCAGAGACTTACAGTAATTATCATAATGTCAAAAAAAATTACAGGAACTCGACAAAGAGCTCATTATACCGTAATTGGCATCATTAGCCATTTTCTCTTCCTGTCTCTTTTCTGTCCTTTGACATTCAAATCACCGTGATCAAAAATAGCCTCCTCTCTTTGTCTCTATTGTTCAGCAGACTAACTCCCAAACACTCCCCTGCTTCTCCGTCTCTGCTCAGAACAATACCAGACTCCTGCTGGGTGTGTAGATGATAACTTTCTGATGAGCCACTATTGTCTCAGCGAACAGAGGTCGCGTGTGACCGACGGTGTGACAAACACAAGCGCACACTCCTGGCTCCCTGACTCTGTCTCCAGCATCAGACAATATGGACTTTGAACTCTGTGAGTGACCAGGAATCCAGGGAACCTTGAAAATCCTAAATATGAGCCTTTGAAACTGTAAAGAATCAGGGGAAAGACCTTTACACCCAGAAAATCTTCAGTGCATATCTCATTTTTGGCCTTTTAACATCCTGAAGTCCAGTCTAACTATGAATACTTAAAGGGATATTCTGGCGTAAAATTAATTTAGGGTCAAACACACTCTAACACCGAGTTAGACACCCCCCCTTTAGAGATGAATGTTGTCGACCGCTTTCTTCTCTAGTTAAACCAACTTTAGTAACGACCGTGTGATAGCGATACACAGCGGTCTGAGGAGCCATAAACATCAACCAAAACGCCACTCTATAACCACAAATAATAATAAGAGATGAAACACAACTCACCTACTCTCCTCCAGCAGCTGCTTGTTTGTAGGGAGACCTCAGGCCAGTCTATTATAGATTACAGCGGGGTGACGCAGCTCAAGGAAGAACATTTATGATCATTTCTTCATGGAAATACAATCAGACCGAGACGCTAAGGCAGAAGAACTACCGCGTCTGCTGTGCAAAATGATTAATATGATGATTATTACTTCAAGGAATTGATAAAGAAATAATCATAAATGTTCTTCCTTGAGCTGCGGCACCCCGCTGTAGTCCATAACGGACTGGCCTGAGGTCTCACTACAAACAAGTGGCTGCTGGAAGAGAGTAGGTGAGTTGTGTTTAGTCTCTTTGCTAAAGAAATCAGGCAAAGTTAAAAAGATGTTTGGTGTCTAGTTCTATGGCTAGGACCCTATATGTACTGTTGATGAAGTTAGGTGCTGTTCTGAGCATTATTTGTGGCTATAGAGTGGCGTTTTGGTTGAGTGCGTGGCTCTCTGTATTGCTATCCTGCAGTCGTTACTAAAAACTAGAGAAACAAGCGGTCGGCAACATTCAGCTCTTGAGGGGGTGTCTAACTCGGTGTTACGGTGTGTTTGACCCTAAATAATTTACGCTGGAATATCCCTTTAAATTTAGTGTCAGACTAATCTGTTTTTACATTATTTTTAAAAGCCCAGTTTCAGTCAGACTGAGGCGATAAATTGATTTCTCTGTGCAATAATTAAACCTACATGTATCTCCTTCAACACAACTCCTATGGGAGTAACTGTGATCATCAGGGCAGCATCAGAAAGCTGGTATCGAAAATGTAGAAGAAAAACATAAATGACTTGTTTTAACCTCCTGAAAAGCCTTTTAAAAATGACTTATCTGCTGTTTAAAACCTGCAGCTCAGAAGTTATTCTCAACAAAATCCACTAGAGGGCAGCATCACTCTCCTCACCGTGTGTCCTCATGCTGTCCAGCTCTCCCCTGCAGTGATTCATCCTCCGAGCCGCTGGGACTGACCACCGAGTCAGGGAGCCCATCACTCATTTATTCGCTCGATATCCGATCCACGCACCGATGATCCCTTTAAAGAGAGGCATTAGCCTTTTATTCACCTGCGGCACAGAGGGAGTGACGGCCTGCAGCTCTCGGGGCCGGGGGCTCCAAATGGAGGACTCATTTGAAAAATAAACAGGGGGAATGGTCTGCAGAGGGTTTATTGATTTATTCAGCGTTATTTATCCGCAGATATCCTACATTCAAGGCTGCATCTGCACTGAAATAGCTCAAAGTAACATGTATGTAAGGGATGTTATCAGCAGGTAGGACAGGTGAGTGACAGGTAATTATCCAGCCATCTGTCCATCTGTTGTCTACGTATATAAACCTGCTGCTTTTTCTGTGCAGGGTCCCAGGGGATCACAGTCCTTTCAGGCTCAGGGTCCACCTGGACTTGTTACCAGTCCATCAATTCTCTATAAGAGGAAACTTCCCGAGGTAACGTAGAAACAACACAAGCACTTGGTGTTCACTAAAGGATACATATCATGTGCTTAAATATCTGCATCATTAAGTCGTAGAGTTTCTGCATGAAATAAACACGGTGTAGGCTTATGCAGTCAGTGTTAAAGTAGACGTGGTTCAGGGTGGTAGTGCAGGAGTTCTGGAGGGTGCCATATGGGCAGGTTCACCTTGGGAAGCTGCACGTCCTCGACAAGCAAAATAAAAAAAAAAGAGTATGTGTGGAAAAGTTACTGACCTGCCAACTGCAGCGTATTAGATCTTTTATCAGCTCATCTGAGTCGAGATTAAACTGCACAGAAACCTTCACTGTGTGAATGTTTTAGAAAATCATGTTTATCACTGTAACTGACAGATCAGAAAATAAAAAATGTTCATTTGTATTTTCCCCCAAAGCCAAAAGAGAAATTGAGATGGCTGGATCGTTTCAGTTACAGACTTTGAAGAGGAAACTTCTATCAGGTTTGGTGAAGTGGTGGTTGTGACTCAGTGGTAGAGTCGGTTAATCTCAGGTTCTGTTGTCTTCACCTCAGCTGCTCCTCTGATTATGCAAAACTCATCTCAAAATCTTCAAAATTGACCAATTACTTAATTTTTTTTCCTCTTTCTCTTCTAATTTGAACAAATACAGAAATAAGTTGTCCAGACCATAAGTAGTTTTTTCTGTTCTTTTTGATATTTATATTTATGGGACTTTCTGAGACAGCCTCAAGTGGACACTCAAGGAACTGCAGTCTTCAGCACATTTGACAACAACAGGGGTTTCCTGTTAGTAAAAAACAGTAACCTCCAAATGTTATATCCTTGAGAGTCTGCTTAAGACCGGCTCAGAAAGCCTTTAAGCCCAACATTGAAGAGTCTATTTTAACAGCAGTATTAAACATGATTTTAAAAATGAATTCTGCATCTCTGACAACTTTACAGAAGGCGGATTTTTAATGTCATAACAGGTCTTTTTTGATCGGATTAAAGCCATCAGTTTTGCATAAGTTTGCATAATTTGTTGTGTGTCAAGTTCACTTAACGGTGAGCAAGTTTGAAGTCAACTCCTCCTTTTCCCATGTTCCTGTGTTGACTGACTCAGCATCTTTACAGTAATACGATCACTTTGTTTCCTGCTTTTGTTATAAGTCTGAGTTTCAATCAGGTTAAGACAAGCTTCTCCATCTAGATAAGCTTCAGTCTAAGTTGTCTGACTACAAATTAACAAGCCTGAGGGGAAAAGGAGAGAGTCAGCTGTCCGCTACGTTTTCCACAGAAGTGAGATATCAGAGAACAACTGTGTGATAAACCAGCTGTCTATCCGTCTTTGAGCATTTTCTCAGGAAAACTGGCGACTAGATTGATGTGAAACGTTCTGGAAAACATGCAGGGAAATCTACGAGAGAGAGAGAGAGACTTCATCTTTCTTCCACCTCTTGTCTTTCCTCTCAGAGGGACAGAGTGATGTGCCGTCATGACAGGAATCTCAATCAGCTGTGTTGTGTGTGTGTGTGTCTGCGAGTGACATGTTTCACACAGTGTGATGATAAAAGCATCCGAGCGTGTCTCACAGCTCAGATAGCATCCCGCCGCACAACACTGCGAGTATGTCGGCTGCTTTTCAAACACAACACTAAAGGATTTCCTCCTCCTTCCACTCCAGCGCTCGGTTATGTAATGTGCTGTTAGAGCTGCTCTGTGTTGGCTGCCTTCTTGATCCAAATGAGTTGTGCTATAAACAAGCCCCGTCCTCATCAATAATGGATCCCCGCCGTAAAAACGTTTGTCGCTCCTGCTCTTCAGGAGAGCTCCGTCTGAGTTGACATTCTTCCAGAACAGTTATGTAACGGCAGGTTCAGAAACTTTTCAAGGGGACGGGGAGGTCAGGACTTTTACAGGAGGCTGGCACAAGTCTGCAGTGCTGCTGGGCTGAAAAAGTGCCCTCTTCTTCCTGATGATAAAACATAAATCTAAAAGAGCTGGATCTATATCTAAAATGGATTTACTGACTTTTTATAACTCCTGTTAGACAGCAGTCTTCTACGAGATGTGAGATAAACCTCCACAGATCTCATGAAGAGTCTTTGCTGTTGTTTGACATCGTATGGCCTCCAGCAGGAAAAGCAGGCCATCCATTCACTCAAGTGACATCTACACACCTTAAAATCCAGGATTTAACATGCACTGCTTTGGAAGATGCAGTCAGTTTTTGTGTCTTCTTTGGAGAAAGATCCAAACTGTCTAGAGGCTTTGAGTCCACAATGTTTAGGATGTCATGGACATGTCCTCTTTTTTGGGGGGCTGTCCGGCCTTGTCCAGGGAGTATAAAATCCTTCAGATGTCCAGGGTTTTGTGTGGAAGTTTTGAGTTTGTGTCGTATGGACTAACCCCCAATTTCCACCACATCCGGAACAGCTACGAAAAGGCCGTATCCGCTGATCCGCCATTCCGGATCTGAGCTGTGCCGGATGCAGTGGAAATCCCGGGTAACTGAGTTAGAAGCGTGTAAAAAACATTCGACCCAATGCGAAAAAGTCTCAAAATTGACTACGCCTGACTCTGTGACTCCGCCCTGCGTAGTGGTGTCCTCTTTTTGGGGATTCAGAATATCGTCACCCGAACAACGTGCAGCTTCTGTTCAACCGTGTAGCTCTGTCTCGTTTAATCTGGTCTCTCACCATCTTGCTAACTTGAGTTCAGTAGTTTTGGTGTTTAGGACGTAACTTGTAGACAGTTTTTCAAAGGCAGACATCACCTGCTGATTTAGTTTGACATTTTTGGACATTTCAGTCACATATCGTAACAGTCTGTGGTCTGAGGTGATGTTGCTCCTGTTTGGGTTGTTGTGCGTCTCTTTACGCTTTCTTCTGTTTTCATCTTTTTGGTAGTTTTGCTTCTATCAGTTTTCTTTAAGATAAAACAGATAATTCCAAATAAGTTCAAACTTTCGACCTGCTCACTTCCCTGATTTTTCTCCTCTTGTTTGAGGGTCCTGTGCCTCCCTCGGCCCCCTCCCTGCTCTGCCCTGCCCTAACATGTACTTATCAAGTTAAACCCTACCGACAGGTCAAACAGCATACGTCAGTGTGAGGGGGACAACGGTGGACCCCCATCAGCTGTTCTCCAAACTTGGCTCTCTGTACCCCGGCCTTTCAGCGGGACCCGGGTCTCTGACATTTTGATGGAGCACACGGGGTCTGTGTTGGTAACAAGCCCTCGCTGAGATGTCACTGCTGATTACGGTTTGCTCTGCCGTCCTGTGACTTTCCCCAAATGAGGAGAGGGGGACAAGAGGACTTTTATCCCACCATTACTCTCAGTCTGCTGGCCGGGACGCTGACCTTTCCACCACTGTTGGTTTGTGGGTAAATGCTGATTAGTGCGCTTGTACCGGTGGGGATGTGACAGTGACGAGCTGGCAGGTGCGAGCGGAGCCTGCAGGTGTTAGAGCACCGGATGAGAGAGTTTCAGCAGGTGTAGGATTATGTAATAAAACATAATGCTGGATTGTGCTGACTGCAGCCTCTGAAAATAGTCACTGTGCACCAAATCTGATCAGGTCTGAGGACGGAGTAAACTCTGCTGAGTGTGTTTACTGTGGGCGAAGGTCGTAACTCTTTATTTTTAAATGTGATCTCAGAAAACGGAAATAATAGAAAACAGGTAAAAAAGGAAGCCTGGTGGAAACTGTGTGGAAATGTTTCCACCACCATCGTGTTATGTAATCACACAAACAGAGACAAGAATCTGATTTTAATGGAGTGTTTCACAAACTCCAATCGAGGAATTAGGCTTGAAGTTCTACATGAATCGGGGGTAGGGTTCGGTATCGTTTGATTTTGAACGATTCCGGTTCTGATTCCTAACTATTCTCTATTCCGATTCTTTTAAAGGGCAGGATATTAAAATTTAAAAAAGCACAGTTTAAGTGAGGGTGCTAACCAGAGTTCTTCTTTTTGGATGAAATTTCTGAACTTCTCCATGAATTTTTAAATCATATAAACATTTTAAGAACTTTACTATGAATTTCTCACAGGGCGATTTTCAACCAGTATATACATATCAATTCTTGTTGTCAAAGTTAGCAGAAGACAGAAGTAATTTATTGTTTCACTTATCTGATTCTGGCTGGTTAGCGGAAGACCGGCGAAATGCGTCAAAGATGGGCACTCAGGTATTTCTCCTCCATGAATGGCTCCGTCTCATACGTCTTCCTTGTTGGTGTTCGGCGGCTATTTCTTCCGGTTGGGCGGACTCCAGCATCGAAACTTGGAGCCAAAATTTCAAAATATGAATGATTCTAGGAGAATCCGAATGTTATTCCCTGTCCCCATCGATGCTCAAGACTCGATGCCCAACCCTAATTGGGGTCTGTGTTTTGGATGTACGTATAAGAAACAGCTGACTTTTAAGAAGACAGAAAAGGTGTTAAAAGTCCATCTCATGCACTGCGAGTTGCAGCATTTAACAAAAACCATCACAAGGTTGGACTTTGGTAGGGTGACCATATTCTGAAAGAGGACACTACTACGCAGGATGGAGTCACAGAGTTGCGCTTAGTTGATTTTGAGTTTTTCGGGTCAGGTTGAGTGTGTTTTATGCTCTTCTAACTCAGTTATTCCAAACGATACAAACTCAAAACTTCCATATAAAACCCCGGACATTTGAAGGATTTTATAAACTCCCTCGGACAAGGCCAGACAGCCCCCAAAAAGAGGACATGTCCAGGTAGAAGAGGACATATGGTCACCCTAACTTTGGTTGTTTTTAAACTCTAAAATCACAATGACGTAACTTATAAAATTTGAAGCAACTTCTGTATTTTCTAGCAGCTTTTTGAAACAGTCTCTACAGGAAGGAATTTTCCTAAAATGAGCCACAGGACAAAGAAAAGAGACATTACGTAACAATGGCAGGTGAAACAAAAACTTATGCATTAGATGTCGGAGTAAAAAGTCGCACCAGGAGGTCTTAAATCTGCCGCTTTGAGTCGA